AAACCGGGTCCCGGCCGGGCTGTTACGATTAATCAAAAATCAAGAATTTTTATCAAGAAAAGACACGGATGGTTATTATTACTTTTTTTTAGCTTTTTTGTGCTTTGTTGTCTTTATATCATACTTTCCGTTCCATAAGACTGCACGGCCGGGGCCTAGTTTTGAAATGTGACATCAGCATAACTAGTTGTCCATGTCGTTCAAAGTTACCTTTATTTGCATAAAAGACAGGTGACGTATTTTGTAACCGCAGCATAGTCCATTACACGCCTATCATCAAATGACGTCTCCTAGCGCGACTATAGCTACTGCTCTAACGAAGGTTCCCCGTGGTACGTTCAGACACTGCCGTTCTTTTTTACGACAGTAAGATACGATTAACGTCCCATACTCAGGCTTTCTCGGGTTCCATATTTTGCATTGTCAAATCAACAACAGGATCTAGGAGCTGGCTATAGCTTCGGTCCCAATTAAGCCGGTGCCCGTCGGGAATGTAGGCCCGGCTGCCCAGAAACGCAGCGTAGCCCAAATGAGGATTCGTTGAGTATCTTTGCCTATTACCACGAAACGCCATTTTTAGGCATACTGAATAAGGCGAATTTTGTGATGTTAATATATACTGCTTCATTTTAGCACATTTAAATAATCATTTCATACTCTGGGCATTCAAGACTGCAGAAACAAGCCCAAAGATGAGTCCATTATTTTCTGGGTGGTACTCTGAAAATCAGCCCAGGGCCCCTCCGGTAACCATTGTTCGTCAGAATGTTGGTAATATTTGCTCCATTAGAATCAATATACATTGAGATAGTGTGGTTTTAACTCAGTACGTAGATAAATGACTAGAATTTTCACTTTGAAAAATCTGTTTTCCAAGCCCTAAAAACTGCACTGGATGCCTTTAACACACAGAGAATTAGAAAGAGCCAGCGTACTTAAATACATCAACATTTGACACGAACCGAAACTTTGGCGTAAAATCCAAACTGCAAAGGATCAGTGACTGTAATGCTCGGATATTGATTCGTCCTGCTCGATGTAATGATTGCCTGAGGCGGTTGATCCTCCCCTCTCTATCAAAATCCGGTCAATCGACATGCCGGGCTATTCCGGATAAAATACGGCGTCTGGATCAACATGTTTAGCAATTCGGTGGATTAACATCAACAGGTACTTTACTACAGGCCTACTGGACTGCAATTTCCAGGAAAATGACAGCAGCTTACTATTACTTGAGCAGTGCCTTTGCTAATCACAAAGGCAGTTACAAAGATACAACCACGCCGAGTTGGTAAATCGAATCTTCTTATGATACTTTATTTTTTATGTTTCCTTTCAAACCGGTCTGGCGTCTGAAAAAAACATGTTTAGCAAATCGGTGGATTAACATCAACAGGTTACCTACTGGCCTGCAATTTCCAGGAAAATGGCAGCAGCTTACTATTACTTGAGCAGTGCTTTTGCTAATCACAAAGGTAGTTACAAAGATACAACCACGCCAAGTTGGTAAATCGAATCTTCTTATGATACTTTATTTTTTATGTTTCCTTTAAAACCGGTCTGGCGTCTGGATCAACATGTTTAGCAATTCGGTGGATTAACATTAACAGGTTACCTACTGGCCTGCAATTTCCAGGAAAATGGCAGCAGTTTACTTGAGCAGTGCCTTTGCTAATCACAAAGGCAGTTACAAGTTACAACCACGCCAAGTTGGTAAATCGAATCTTCTTATGATGCTTTATTTTTTATGTTTCCTTTTAAACCGGTCTGGTGGTTAGGAATCCCAGTTTAGGGTCGAAAGGTCGTGGGTTCGACTTTTGACCAATCCGGCGAGTCTGAAACGTTAAGTTTTAATGCTAAGGTCACATTTCCAAACCGGGGCCCGGCCGGGATGTTACGATTAATGAAAAACCAACAATTTATATAAATGATATACGCAAATAATTCCCATTATTAATGTTTCAACTTGTTTGTGATTTGTTGTCTTCTATATGATACTTTTTTTCCATAAGACTGGCCCGGTTTGGAAATATGACCTCAGCATAAGAATGACTGTTTCACACAGACAGGACAATAATCAGAGAACTCCAAGACGAGATGTTTAGATACCGGGTTGAAGAAGAGACATAGTGCATCTCGAAAGCTCCCAGTTCCCCAGAGTTTGTTGTGTGGTTTGTCAAAAATATCCTCCAAAAGTAACAGGACATCCCTGGGTGATGTCGACGGTATTTGTCCATCTAATGCTGAGGTCACAGTTCCCACACGGGGCCCGGCCGGGCAGCTTTTGGAAAGAGTTCGATAAAACAAAAACAGAAAATGATAATCATCGGCAGTATTTCTGTTTATTTTTGGATAGGGGCGTACCAGCCTGGCACCCGCCAGGATCGCCCCTGGACCCCGTCAGCTGCCCGGCCGGAATGCAAGAGCCGGGCGGCACCCTTCCGCATCCCGCATGGAACTCACATGTTACTCACATTGCGTTAAGACAATCAAGAAACATTGCCCTATTGAGAAGGCATATGTGGGCGATGCCTTTTGCAGTTTGCAAGGTTGTTGTTTGTGCACTGGTTCTGTCAGTTGTGCAGTACTGCGCACCAGTCTTAGCCAACATGTCAGACTCCAACATGCGCAAACTGCAAGTAGTGCAGAATAGGGCATGTAGACTGTTACTGAAATGTACTCCTGATACTCCTACCAGGCAGATGCATCTAGATCTTGGTTGGCCGACTGTGAGAGAGAGATTCTTGAAAAGCACTTTGGTCATGTTCTTTAAGATCCTCACGAGTCACGAACCACAAAATATTTACAACTCCCTTTTGCCTGTTCATGCATCTCACAGTCATAATACCAGATCTTCCGCACATAACTTTAGATTACCAATACCTAAGTCCAACAGCAGAAAACGCTCATTCCTGTATCGTGCAGTCGTGCTCTGGAACGATCTACCATCTGACGTTAAGACACTGTGCGATGTTATCAGTTTTAAGAAAGCCGTTTCAAACAGTAGTAGTGTCACCTGATCCTTGACCCTTGCTCGCCACTTTTAAATTGTTTATATCTATGTGTATTCATTGTTGATGTGGTGTACATGTATGTATGTATGTATTTTTAAATGTTTCCACTATGTTGTAATTGCTATAATGTTTGAGCCTTGGAAGATTAGCCCTTCGGGGCTAAAAGGTTTCGAAATAAATGAAATGAAATCCCGCACGGGTCAAGACGGGAGACTGACCGGGCACCGGACGGGTCCCTAAAAGAAACCGGCCGTCAAAGGGACCAAAATTTGTGAATTTTTAATAGAAGCCGCCTCAGCGCCCGGACAGGGAGCCGTAAAGGAACATTTAATTGTGACCCTGACAGCCGGCGGAACGCTCGGCTTCATGACGCCGGCCTGTGTCTACACCGTGAACATGCAGTTTGAAATGTGACTCCAGCTTAAGTAGCAATAGCAGTTAACTAATTCGGAGACAAACCATGGGTATAGAGCCCTGGAGAGGAGACCGTAGAGCAAGATGCATCTTCCAAACAATTATTTTCGCCTCTTGAGGACGTGTTGTCATCTGATTTCGTTTAGAATACACGAGTTCCAGGCGCAAGTGTGATATGTCTGCTCTGTTCCTAGCCAAAAACACATAGATCTCAACTGGCGCGCTCGTTTCAGTACAGATCTGCCAAACCACCACTTAGTCCCATCGAGTAGTGGGGTTGACTGAACCCCGAGACGTAGTTTTGAATTTATATTAGCCCCGGCCGATGTATCAACATTCTAGTGGGATGATCCAGTCGTGAAACGACCATCCAAGCTGAACTAACTAGTCCATACGCGCAAGGAATAACTATAATTATGGTTACCTTCACAGAATATTGTTTTTGCTCAGTTTTTTCCTCTTCTTCTCCAAACATATAGGGTCAATGACCTTGACCAAGACGTCTGTCACCACGGTAACTTGTGCTGTAGCAACGCCCTGTGGTGGTGGGTTACATTTTGTAGCACGGCAGAGCTGGAGGAACGGCTCGACATACATATGGATGTATTTGGCTTTGAGTAACAATGAACAAACCAGTAGTTTGTTTAGCTAGACCATGTGAAGGTAAACATTATGCATTTGATTTGCAATTGTTACTTTTCTAGGTCTTAACATCGTTACAGTCTGGTGGGGCAGGCGGTTTAGACAGCTCCAAGGACATTTGTTCTTTTTGTGTCATTTTTGTCGACAGCATTTATAGAGCAACTGTAATGTATTTCATCTGCGGATATGTTATGGTTTATGATGAAAAAGTGAAGATAAAAGGCTTTCACTTGAAATAAAACAGCAAGATTCGAACAACAAAATATCTCTCTCCTGTCTGAAAATGTCTGGACAAAATCTCGTCCTGGCAAAGGGGAAAAAGATTATTAATGTAAGTATCAAAATTAGACAGGCAAGTTTAGTAAACTTTCTTTTGTCATCACATAACACAGAGGTAATTCATTTATCTATTTATTTGCACAAATAAAAACATTGATCAACAAATATGCAAAACAAAGGGAAAAAGTGTACAGGAGAAGTAAAGAAGCCTGCAATGCTTGTAAAATGCCCTGCATTTTGAAACTCAGGAAATATTAATCATAAAACTAACATGATAAATAAACTAAATAAAATCTAAATATAACAGAACAAAACTGATTAAATCGTGTATAAGCAAGCGCAATACTAAAGTGAAAAAATATATAAATGGATATAAAGTAATGTATGCCAGAACTCAACACAACGTAAAATACACGATTTATTCCTTGCTACCATTATTGGCATTCACGTCGAGTCCTCCTGGTTCCCTTGTTAAGGTAAGTCCTGCGATCAATAGATGGCGACAAAAGGCTGTAAAATGCTCTTTGGTCACAACGTCAGTAAAATACGTCGGTTGCGGCTCTTTCACATGAATAACAATATCCTTGTTCACTTTTTTCAGCTCTCATTCAACATCTGGAATTTAAACCATTAGGTACCTAATTGCCTCACCTGTAAAGTAATTTGGTTGCATTTGAAGATCGAGTTCCATTCATGTCCTTGCAGTTGTATGTTTGTAGATCGCTAACAGAATTTCCGTCTTGAATGTATTGCCTCAAAGCCTCCATGTACAGCAAAACCCCTGTCCTGATGGTAGCCTCCTTGTTATAATTTAGGCTTTGGGAAACCAAGGACAACAGTCCCACAGGGAATTGTGGTGGGGCCTCTCTTAGCCTCGTAAAATCTCCTATAACCGATTCAGCGGCGATCCAGACAAAATCCTCGCTGGTGTATCCCAACGCTCCGGCAGCCTGAAAAATGGTCTTCGCCTCTGACTTGGAACAATACAGCAGGATGACTTGCGACATGTTTCTTCCAACCAGTTGAGATTTCACGTCTTGAACTGTGCTTGTAGGGTGGACGTTTAAGGTAAATGTACGATGAATAGACCACACTCCTTTTTCCTCGTTCTCCTTGAAGTTGACGACCATGTCTCGAAGTGTCTTCTGGAAGAGGCGGTGTCCGGGCATCTCGCTGGTGACTATGGAGAACCGGTACCAGCGCTGCAGCTTGAGAACGGCCACCATGACCTCAGCCTGTTGGGCTATGGAGCTTCTTAGCAGCAGCGGATAGAATGGGTTATCCTGGAGAAAAGAGAATGGCAGAATTAGTCAAAGAGTTTGATTTTGTTTATTTGCACAAATGGACAAATATGCCGGGGAAAATAGTAAATAACAGTACTTACATTAACAAGAAATCAAATCACGATACAGAAAAACGGAAATACATGATCTAGTAATTTAAAATACAAAATGAACAATCTGTCTTCAAATTAGTGGTGTCATTACTACAAAAAAATGATTCTTTATTGTGTCAGTATCAGTGTTATCATCTTTAATTGTCTGAAAACAGTTAAAATATGACTTTGAGTATAGACGGACCTAGATATTACAGGTCTTCATTAACTTAAATCTGCTTCCAAAAGTTCTTAGACTGAAAAATCACACATAGTTGATTCTGTACTATAGTCCATCTATTCAGGTCTCACCAACTATCAGCATCTTCCGGAATTACATGATGAAAAAACATTAATTTATTCACACTCGTATAATAATGTCGCCGGAAAATAATGTTAAACTTGATGCCCATAATTATACCCTTTTCATTTTGTGTGTGTGCACCGACAGTTTTGATTCAGTATCAATTTCACGGGTAAGAATGGTGCAAAATAAGCTTTGCTCGTTAAATTGTTTCATCGAGTTGCCTATAAAACTTGAATATCCCTCGCCTGTAATAACTTCCCATTGTCACTATTGAGAATATGTTTATAAACGATTAAGTTGAGAAGATTGTCTTGATCGTTATCAGAAGGAGATCTTTACAACAGACAATAGTTTGTAGGAAGTAGACCATAATCAAACTATGCCTGTATATATATATACCTTTACATATTGATTTTTGTATCCAATATCCTCAACTACATAAAGTCGCAGAGAGGCACGTAAAACATATTACTCTTCGCCACAAACGCGGGGGTGACTATCGAATATCGTTACTAGTTCGAGCCATTTTAATTAGCTGTTATATCGAAACGCCACGTAAAAAGGATAGCCTGCAGATGTGACTATTCTCATCTAAGGGTTCATCGTCCGTGATGACGCAACTCAATATCTGATGAATCAGTAAGATAGTATTTTAGACTTTTCAACTGGATAAAAATTTAATAGGCAAACGTGTCAAGTGTTATTCCGACACTCTTCATCAGTAAAATGTTTACATAGGATTTCCGGAACGAGAAACAAGGTTATAAATAACCAAAAAAAACATTCAAGTTGTTCAAATTGTTCTAAATAAACACAAGGTAACTGGGATAAGTTAAGAGATTCGTTCTAAAAAGGGGAAATTTTTCACTGATGAAGAGTGTTGGAACAACAATTTTGGATATAAACGTTTGGATATTAAATTTTTATCCAGTCGAAAATTCTAAAATACTATCTTACCGATTCAAGTTTTCTACTTATGACTAATCTTCACAAACATACAAAAATCTGATGTTTTTTTTTCTTGAGAAACATAGAAACTTACAGGACACAGTGGCGGGCAACTCTAGCAGGTTGCTAATCTTAGCCCCACCAATGACAAAGAAGAGTAGTGCTACATACAATGGTAGCTAATAATAATAATAATAATAATAACAAACAACTACAAGTAACAAAACAGCAAATGGGCCATATAAACTATAAAGAAAAGGATCATGATGTTTTGAAAAAAATGGTTTTCCGTAGAACACATATAGTCAAGTGTAAACCGTCTTGAATGAATGATGTAGGATTGAGCTGGGGTCAAGATACATCTGTTGGTTTTTAGCCCTTAAGTTAGTACAAGATTGTTCAACCAGATTTTCACATCGAGAATGGGACTGAAAAATTGTTGAAGATTGCTGAGTGGGAACAGTCTTTGGTGGCTATATAAGATGAAAATGCACAACGGTTTTGAGATGTACGTATACCTCTAGGACACTCCACCAGCGGACTACTTTTGCGAGCAAGTCATGTTCGTGCTGACGTCATGGCGAAATTGGCGGCTGTTCCATTTGAAGCGGCCATTTGCAGGTCATTTAACCTGCCAATAGCAGGCAGAGAGTCGTAAAGCATACAGAATGGCGGCAATATGGCTGACAGTTACCAGAAAGGCCTAGCAAGATGCCGGGTCTGGTGTACCAACGCTCATGGTCAGATGGTGCCAGTAACTCCACTGTACTTCATTATGTTATTTAAGCTAGCTTTAATTGTTGTGCATATAATTAAGTAGGCCTTAGTGTAGATTGTTGTTAAGATTGTTATTGTTATACTGATATTTAAGCTGTTTGTATATAATTGTAGCTATTAAGTTTGTAATTGATTATATTTCGTCTTTAAAATGCAAAGGACTCCAGGAAGACTAGTAAACAAACTTTGTATTATTAATGGAGATTCCTAGTAACTAGTAAACATAAACATAAAACTAATTCCTATTCAATTTTTTGAGATGGATTTTGATCCATAGATTCAAGTATAAGGCCACACCAAGTAATTTCGGCCTGTTCCTAGAAAAAAAAACAAGAAATTTCGCTTCCTGTAACTATGACCAAAGAGTCACGACAGTGCCGCAAATCGCAAGATTGGAAGACATGATGAAAGGAAAGAAACAGGACAGGACGACAACTGCTGTTCCACTGATTTATTGCTGTTTTCATGACGAATAAAAGACTTGTTGGTTGTTACACTGCGTTCTCTCATTCAATTTGCGTTCTAACATTTCTGGTCCCTTGGTATATTTCAAATCTAGGCATCTTGCTTTTTTTTCGACCCTTCTTTTTTTTCGCGCTCTCGCATTAGATTTAGGGTCTCCAGAGGATGTTATACATAACTAGAGTTCCACGATCTCATACCTTCGCCAAATGATGTTAGCTTTTATGAATAAGAACTTATATACAATGTATTAATCCCCCTGATTATGCAAATAGGATCCGCAATTGCATGAATTATATCTGTTGATCATAATCTCCACCAACAGTCTTATTTCAACAAAGAATGCCATTATAGCATTTCCTCATATATTATGCAAATGAGGTCCTTATTTGAATAAGTTATGTTAAATTATGTTTACCTTCACTAAACTTCAAACACCCCAAGTATAAAATTCCAGGCAGTTACCACTATGCAATTATAACATTTTCTCATTAATTATGCAAATTAAGTCTTCATTTGCATAATCGATATCTGCCTGTGTTTCTCTCGTTGTTAATAACATATGTCACAAGCTTGAACTTCCTATCATGGAATGCAGTTGATTAATAGAATTTCCTCATTAATTATGCAAATTACATCCATATGTGCATAATTGTAATATCATTATGTCAAGCATTACTCAAGCTACCTACATACCAAAAATCATGATGATCCATCAAGCTGTTCTTGAGTTATCCTCCTTTAAACATTTGTCCTTTAAACCCCCCTGCAGTTCTAGAGCAAGCAACTAGGGGGCCCAAACTCACCTCACTTCTTCCCCAGCACAAGACCTACCTGCCATCAAAATTTCGTCACCCTAGCATGTCTGGATCATGAGATATCAAAACCGGAAGTTCAGCTGCAGTACCATGACAAGCCGCCAGGGGGCCCAAAATCTGATCAGTTCGAGCTCTCATCAAGACCTACCCATCTACCAAATATCAAGATAATCCATCTAAGCTTTCTCGAGTTATGCTGTTGACAGACAGACAGACACACACACACACACACGGCCAGGAAAACATAACCTTCTCCAATTCTTGGCGAAGGTAAAAATTACTTGGTCTGGGTGTGGCCTGAGTAAAAATGCATACATGTCAGTGATTTTTGTTCAGGGTCAGAGACGTCGCATTTTGCTCTGGCAGGTGAAAGTCCCCTGTGTTTGTTTGGATAATGGACAGATAATGATGGAACGACCCCAAGCGGCCTTTGTTTCCATTCAATTAGTGTGCTTTATTGGTCGTCCGTCCGGGTTGATTTGGTAGCCGCTGCGTATCGGAAGAACAGTATACACAGACCGATAACTTTTATTCTTTCTGTCGTAAAACGTCCCGTGTGAAAACCAGCCGTTACTTTTTTTTTACTGAATGTAAGAGTTATTACTTAGAGAGGAGTGTTTTTACGGAATGTGGGTTTCATGACTCCAACGTCCCTCACAATTAGGCCATGTTGATTTGATTATATGGATGACATCCACGCACGCATGAATTTTTGGCCGTTTAATAAAAAAACGTTTTCAATCATACTGTAAATCGTACAAACGAGATTCAAAATGAGCAAATGTATACAGTAAATTGAAAAGAAGATATTTGAAAACGATACCAATGTCGTAGAACGCCAAAATCAAACGAAAAAGAGTATTTGTTCATCTTTTTTTGCAAAAACTTTTTTTCAAAACGTTTATTATTCGCACGCTCGCATCAGTTTTGGGGTTCCCTGTAGATGCCATCCATATAATCAAATCAACATGGCCTTACTTCAGCCGATCCTCCTACAAGAGGCCGATGGCCTTAAAAGTTTCATTATATTATATATATATGAATGGTTTATTTCAACACTGTCGCAAACATAGCATCCAGAATGGCTGAGTTGTGTTGTGACATGACAATGAATTCGGCAAGAGACATATTCACATGTAAAACACTGGAATAAGAACAATCTATACAAAATTTGCTGGATTAACAGACGCTAGTAAACAGTAGAATAGTTCGACAAGTTACAATACCTTAACAGCGCAACTATTGAGCATAGTTGTCAGTTAGTACAAATAGTTTCCTTCAGACATAAAGAAGGTTGACACAAAACAGTTCCCTGTCATATTTTTCCTTATTGTACACCATTGACATGCATTCAGAAGCCTGGAGAACTGCCTGTTTCAGCCCAAAACCAGTATATGTAATTCTCAATACGTTAAGTACTGTATTCTCCACAGCTCTTACTTGTGACATTATGCTATTAACCTCAACGATCGATTTTCTTGGCCTTGAAAAGACTCGTGCCACCCGAAAACCCCTTACGCAGGCCTTATTCTGCAATTCTTATGTATTACACCCCAGTGCCGTAATGTGTTTTACAATGCTGGTCGGTATGGTGCG